TTTCTCATAATTAGCTAACTTAGGTCACGAGACATGAATGTTAATTAGGAAACTGTTAAGATGTCCGTTCAGGCTTATCGAATTTGTTTTGAGGCTTTCTTAGCTTAGCTTAGCTTTTAAGTTCCGCGCAAAGCGTAATAATTGCCGCTCTGGTAGATTCCTTCATTTTTGAGAGTCGAAATTTTGCGTAGTACGCCTCGTCAAATTATTCTGGGTGAACGGCAGACAAAAGTTTGTCATGATTTTTTAAAGAGCAAATGAGTTTATACACTAAGGGCCCCCAACTCCTCTAAACTTGTTAAAATATAAAATCCCCAACTGTAAAAGATTAAACAGAATAAATATTTTTAAGAGGAATACCAAAGCGTTTAAACTCCGTTTCCATGGCCAGTTTTGCTCAATAGAGGCGACAGGGATGAAATGCCATAAATTGTTAAGGTTATTTCTCTTGCCGACTTATTTTTTTACAGATTACTTAAGCGTTTGAACTCCGTTTCCATGGCCAGTTTTGCTCAATAGAGGAATTCAAATTTATTTTTAAGGAATTTTTATTTGAAGTTTTATGAAATTCCCACCTTATTTAAAAACATAACACAACAACTATAACCCTGTGTAAGTGAACAAATTGAGAAGAATATTAAAATATCTGCGTTAAGAAGCTGAGAAGATATTTTTTCCTGCACGTTTTGAATGGCAATGCGTGTTTATTAGTGAGTGTTTTGGTATGTGTTAAGTTATTTGAATAACGGTATACAAGTGTTGAGTAACAAAAATTGAGAGTTCGTCCGTCGAGTCTATGAACACCTCTGCACAGGCGTTAATGTTAAGATGGACGAACGTTTAGCATCTCGCTTCTAGAACACAGCAGAAGATGGTGTACCCATATTGGATCCATTGCGATCCATCCATTATTCAAGCAATCACATCTGCTATTTCGCCGTCGATCGATTCATTAACAGAAAACTTAATGTGGTCGAATCTAAGCTAACCAGATTTGCTCAAAGTTTTTCTGAAAGTAACGGCGTTGCAGTTGAGCAAGCCGTAAAAATGGCTCGTCGTGAGAACCATGCTTGCATCTGGAAGGGCAACTAACAATGACTTGATCATTAGTTTAAAGTCCTCGATAAGATGCATGACGCTTTGAACGCTCTGGAAAATAGTTCCTTAA